TTGTTCTGCTTGCTTCAGAGTGCGGACACTGAAGGCTGCCAGATACACTGGACGCCAAAGCATGAAGAGTGATTTCGAGATACCTGAGGAGTCAGCGCCATGTGACGAGCAGATGTTGCACGCAAAACCGATGCAAGACGAACGAAGTCATCAGTACTAAGTGCTGGGCCTATAAGGGAGAGTTGTTATTGAGGTTGAGAGAGGAGGAATAAAAAGTATGTGAAAGCGAAAAAAGAGAGACGTTAGCGGTAGATTCTTTTCGCTTACCCGCAGGCGATGTGGCATAAGAGTACTATTGCAAGTGTCAGGGTTGCACGTGGGCTGGGATACTACCGGGGCGCCCACACCCGGACGGGAGGATGATTAAGGAACAACCAAAGCCTTTTGCTCAAAAGCCTAACCGCAAGACAGCGGTGCTTGGCGGAAAATGCAAATACATTACCATTCCTACGGAACAAGTCGCCATGTGTTCCAACCCCCAACCTGGAGGACCGGGAACCTATGTTTGTCAGACCTGTAAACATTGCCAACCTGGTATGAGTGTGTCGCGGGGACACCCACAGTATAGCTTAACGGGTCGCTGAAGTGCGAAAACCGTCACACTGTAAGGTTGTCTCTTCGTGACGGGAATTTTACGAGTACAAGTGCAGAAAGACTAGAGACGAGAATGATAGCTAGATTTTAAAGGTGGTTGGAGGGACCTGCAGCGTTTGCAAGTCTTGATAAGGGGTAAAATAGGTGGTTTTGGATCTCCAACAACTAGCACATAGTCTTGGATATGCTATGCAGTGAGGATTAGCTATTAATCATGTATCAGGTTGCTGATACCCACAATGATTACGCTGCCACTTTCTGAGCCACCTCAAACATATTCCCAAGTTTCCCGTTCAGGTTCAGGTTGGATGGAGCTGGGGACTATAGAGGTAGCCCGCATATCCGCATTTTTCAGCCGTGAACGTCGTACACGAGTACGGTGGTTCTGATTACCGCAGCTGCTAGTCACCAGAACCTGAAGAAGAGTCATGATGTTGAGACGAGAAAGATAAACTTAGAAAAGAGGATTATAGAGTGGAAACAGGAGGGCCACTGACGCCCTTATTTAGTTACATCGATGGAGGATGGATTGCTGCCGGGCCCCAGGCGAGAACACTGATAGTCGTTGAAGCATTTCATCTCGTTCAGCTGTAACACCCTCCTGGTGCCTAGCAGCGACGCCACCCAATTGAAGCATGAGGGCTGGGATACTGTCAGGTTGCCCAAGACTAGACAGGAGCAGTCGAGAGACAGTCGGGTTCGAACCACGGGTCTTGCTGTCAGTAAATTCGCGCTCTAACCACACGAACAGCACTTCATCTCCTTAGCAGTACTTGATCAACTCTACTAACCGACGTAGATTCCGTAGTACTAGCCTGTCCATCTTGCCACACACTGTCGGTCAGCTTAAATCAGAGGTGCCAAGCGATTTTCTCACTGGCTTCGACTACTATCTGCTGATGCATAACCGCTGTGACCAGTATTGTCTCCGGCAGACAAAGACAATTTCCGATCCCAGCGGATTCATCGTCCTCATAAGTGGCTGATTGTTCTCGAAACCCACTTCCAGAAATGGTTTTTCCAAAATAATTTATGGATGGTGCTACTGGTTAAAATGCACGGCCGGTTATCCTGCCGGACTTTGTCCATCGTTTTTGAACCAAAGTTAGCGGAGTTCGATCTTCCTATTTTTATATCAGGTGTGATAGTGACGGATATCGATAACCACCGTAGCCTGTGGTACCAGGTGCCTGTCGCGGTGACTACTGAACCCGATGAAAGGAGGTCCCGTGCGTTCGCTTGATAGCTATCGACCGACTACATGAATTCCTCTCCATTTGACTCGTGAAAGCATGTTGATATTTTGGAGCACCGAGAGCACACTTGAGCGAATTCAGGAACATTAAAAACGATTCCTCCGTCATATTTTTCTCAGCTGCTTCACCTCTTCAAAAAGTGTGTTGGTCTTCCCCAAACTGGTGTCACCAAAGACATCGAGTTCGCACTCGAATTACAGGTGTCCCCTGCGGGCATTTGACCGTTCCGTCACGTAGATAGCTCACATCTGCCAATTTGTAGGGCAACGTAGAAAAAACTGTATAACTTGGGCGCACCCACTGTAACTTCGTCTGGCCACAACGGAGACGGAAAATTTGGTTAGTTAGCTTACCGTATCTCTCCAGTTGAAGTAGAGAAAATGATAATCGTTCAGCTGTGACACTTTTTCGGTGGCTATCTGCCGTGTCACCCGAAGGAAGCGCGAGGGCTGGGATACCGGTAGGTTACCCGAGCCTAAGTAGGGGAAGTCGAGAGGCAGAAATCAGGTTAAAACCACGGACCTTCCGGCCAGTAAATTCGCTCTCTAACCACTAAGCCATCTCGTCGTATCTTTACAGTGCGTTTCTAGCGTCACGCAAGCCGTAACAAGTTTGGAGTTGGGTAGTGCACATGGGATGAAGTTTCGCAATTGAGGTCCAGGTGTTGTTTGACTGTTCCCCCTCAAGGTGGCAATGAGATCATGTCTGAGGGGAGTTCGGTGACTGGTAGATGCGTAGGAAGCGTAAGAGTGTGTGCAGCTAAGGTGACTGTTAGTCTGTAATCTTCAGCATATGAGCATGGAAGCACTTATAGTCCCGAGGTTTAGGAGGTTTCTGCAGAGACAGTCAAGGCTGTTGAGCATTCAGAAAAAAGCGATAGCCACGCAGCTCCCTGAATATAGGTTATGTCCCCTGAAGGCTTGGTGACTGCCTGTTGTGGTTGCCCCAACAGTCTATCAAGCCAGAGCTTTCCTAACTAGACCACATACCCGGTAGAGAGGTCTGCTGATAATCGCTCCTTTTAGTGACCTAAGCTCGAGATGTTGAACAGAGAGGTTGCTGTTAACGATAGAGGTGATATTTTGGCGCTAGGCTATATTCCCGAGGTCCTGAGGAATTCTGGCGATTAGAAGTGTGCAACGCCTGAGATCCCAGAGATCCAGGTTTGGGGGTACAAACTGAGAGAGGAAGCGTTTGGCATTGAAAGGACGATGGTTGTCAGCGGGCCACTTACAAGCTACCTACAGGTCTCAGTAAAGTATGGAACAAGCTCAGGGGCCTGTAACCCTCCATGGACTGACGGCACTGACTAAGGGTTTACGGGGGGTTAAGGATTACTAGTAGATCAGTGAAGCTTGGAAACCAACGATACCCAAGTAAGCAACCTTGCCGATTTCTGTATGGTAGCAGCAAGTATTCTGATAAGGGTTCGTTCATACGGACAACAATGGTCCATCGTTCTAGGCGTACGCACCCAATACAGCACATTGCCTTTATTATTACACACTGCCGATTTTTTCGGATATTGTATTCTAATCAATAAGGGCTTTCAAAGGGTCAAAACGGACGTCGACATCTGCCATCGCAGCGAATTCCCTTGTAAACATGACCTTGGAAAAAAGGAGTGTTGAACACCGCCGATTCACGGATTGATACACAGGATCGAGGCTTTTGCCCAAGTTTCCTGGGTCGGTTTTGTTCTTGTCGGTCAGTGGCCGTCGTTCACCCGTCGTTGAGTTCCGTAAGCAACCCGTAACTAAAAATTTAAGACGACGTATCACATGCGGGTTACAGACCATTAGAGGCAATGCTCTGATTGGTCAGAATTCTAGTCAATCAGGATCGAACATCCTTGGCTTGGTGCATCTCGCTCCCTCACGGGGGTTTCAGCACGATATTTTGGAACGCTCTGCAATCACCCTATAAATGCAGTTGTAATAGTTTCCCTTTGTCTCCAAAAAACGGCTGTCTGGAGCTACCATGCCTTGTGACCTACCATAATGGGTGGACCAGTAAGCCGAGGGGCTGATGCAGTGGCAAGATCATTCAGCAAGTCAAAACAGCTGGCGACAACTCGAACCCACGATGTCAATTTCGGCAGAGTAAATCCAAATAATTTTACGGCAACAACAGAAGAAGCTCGAAGAAGTTCAAGTGAGGCTTGTTGAATCTCTGACGTGCAGTACGTCGGTGAATGCGACAAAAACGGTTGAGCCTCCGTCCTCTTCCACAAATACTGCTACCCGCCCCATCACTGAATTCAATTTCGATGCTGAATCTGGACGAACTTTCGAAATTTGGTTCAAGAAATATGACGACGTGTTTCAAACCGACTTTGCTCAGTTTGATGGTGCGTGGACGGTTCGACCGTTGCTGCGGAAACTGGGGACAACTGAACATGATCGGTTCACAAACTTCATACTCCCCAAACTCCCTCGCGACCTTGATTTCGCAGATTTTGTCGAAACCCTGGCCAAAATCTTCTGAAAGTAAAGTTCCTTGTTCAACACTCGTTATAACTGTCTTAAGATTACCAAAAGGGATACTGAAATTTTCATCACTTACGCCGGCGTGGTTCAACAGAGAATGCGAGCGATTTCACCTCTGCACCATGACCGAGAATCAATTCAAGTGTCTCATTTCCGTGGCTGGTCTTCAATCGCCACATGATGCAAATGTTCGTACCCGGCTACTGAGTCGAAATGAACGGGATCCACAGTCGACGCTTCAGAAACTTACCACCGAGCGCCAGCATCTTATCAATCTCAAGGCTGATGCTGCAATGATCGGACATCCCAGATTCTCTAAGCCTGATATGGTATGCCAAGAGGCAAGCTAATTCTAAACGAACTCCAAGAAAACTACCCACAGCCTGTTGTTCTTGTGCCGAATGGCGCTATTCATGCCACTGTCCTTAGCGAAATCACAGGTGCAACAAGTGCAGTCGGAAGTGTCACGAAGAAGGACGCTGCAGGGACAACTTCAGGAGCTCGCGCAACCATCGACCCGACAAAAGGATGCACCATGTAGCCATGACCGCTATCTACAGGATAAAACCACCCGGTCGACGTTAATTCATCACACTATGTGTCAATAGCATGCCGGTTACCCCCCAACAGGTTCTGACATCACCCTGAGTCCGAAACAAACCTGGGACGTAATTGGAAGCCCACTAGTGGAGATGGCTTGTTTCTGCGGCGATGTCTCATGTACTTGAACAGTACGTTTTTGTTTTTTCGAGCGAGGTCCAGAATGGTGGCTTGTTTTCGTATGTTCCATTGGCGGATTTCCGATTTACAGCGATTCCGCATTTTACGAAATGCCGGCTCATCTTCTGTGTCCCCTGTGGTCAACTTTTTGAAATAGAGTTGGGATCTCTTTTCCAGAAGTCGCCGAATCCTTTTGGCAGCCTGTGGTTCATCCGAGTGCGTGCCGGTTTTCTTGGGACGAATGTCGCGTCAGCCTCGTGGACTTTCTGGACAATGGTCCTATATAGTTCTTCCACCGGAGATGGTTTCAGTGTGATTTGTTCAAGGAAGATGCGCATTCCTGAGAAGTCTGCACGGGAGAAGTCTCGAAACCACGTTTGAGGTTTGGGATTTCTGGCCCGATGTTACTGACAGCCGTGCTGTGGTAGAATCATCAACCTCCGGTTCACTGAATGCAGTCCACGAGGACAACAGACACCACCGTACCGTCGTTGAGTTCCGTAGGCCATCCCCAACTAAAAATTTAAGACGACGTATCACGTGCAGGTTACAGACCATCCGAAGCAATGCTCTGATTGGTCAGAATTCTAGCCAATCAGGATCGAACATCCTTGGCTTGACGCAACTCGCTCCCTCACGTGGGTTTCAACACGACATTGTGGAACGCTCTGCAATCACCCTATAAATACAGTTGTAATAGTTTCCCTTTGTCTCCAAAAAACGGCTGTCTGGAGCTACCATGCCTTGTGACCTACCATAATGGGTGGACCAGTAAGCCGAGGGGCTGATGCAGTGGCAAGATCATTCAGCAAGTCAAAACAGCTGGCGACAACTCGAACCCACGATG